AGGAAGTAAAAATACTAAAACATACATTAATGTCTATTTAGGTAGTTAAATCAGTATTTTAAGATGTATTTTTTTTAATATTAATTAAGTTTTTGACGAGTGGAAAATTGATTAGAAAGAGAATTATCGTATAAAGGTATAGAGAATTGCACTTGTAGAAGACACAATCTCGACCAGTGCAGACTGAAACCATCTGGAGAGGACAGAGGTAGGACCGAATATTTCTCAGTCAATAAATTAGTAGAGCTGGTGACTTGCCAGACAGCTGGGGATAAACCGTGGATTGAGTCAAGCCAAGGCAACTGCACACCAGAAACAGGATGTTTAGCCAATTTCGGGATTGGCCCGTCCTTTGGTGAGACGTGTAATGTCAAGGCAGGTGGATGGTGACAAAGGGTTTGTTTATGTTAAGTTGATCTAATGTTTATACGATGGCGGTGACATGTCAACACTGGCACTGGCGACAAAAAACAATGTTTATTTATGCTGTTTCCAACTAGATATTAGCCAGGCATGGACTATGGCAACTACCTTTGGCAAAAGACTCAAGGACCATCCTTCTTCGCTTCTTTAAAATGTGACGTCAATAAAAGGGGTTATATAAATCTAATGTTAAAAGTCAATCCTGTCAGCTGATCACGTAAGATTTAAAACCTTAATTTATATAATAATTCAATTTTCTATAATAATTTTTATCTATTGAAAGATATATAAGCGTATTAAATTCGTCCGACATTAAATAATTGTTTAATTTATATAAATAACTACGTGCGTTATAGAGAGGTCTTCGTAGTTTAGTTATAATGTTATTGCTTATCGAAGTAATAAATTTTTGTCTTTCTTTTAAAGCAATAAATTGATCGTCGTAGTGGTTCAATTTTTGACATTTTGATATAGAACGATAGTTTAGCATCTAATCTAAGTGGTTTCTTTTATCGAACCGCAACATAAACATTTTCAGGGATTTACTTGTGTTTATCGACAGTGTCATCTAATTAAAATAAAAACGTTACAGTAGCACTTTGTCGAAGAAAATGCACTTATTAAAGGTATCAAAGTGTTTAATATTCAACTGTTTTTTCCCCTCTACTTTCCACGGTAATCTGATCATTAAAATTGAACTTGTGATATAATTTGGAAGCTTCTAACAGGATGAATTTCAGAAAATTTCATCCCTCGATAATAATGAATGTGGATGGTCTTTTCTTATATTATTGTTTGAGGAAAGTAGCTAAGTATTTATTTTTCAGGTACAGAAAACTATGTACAGAGGATGTGCAAAAGTTTTAAATTTGGCTACGGCACCATCTGGTTGCCAGAAGTTGACGTTTGCTTTGGACATCTTCAATAACTAGCATCAACGTTGAACATGTCTCTAAATTATTTTTATAAACTATATAAGATTTTAAGAATTTATACATCTATTTTTATTTTTATACTAAAGTTTATATTCTATAATTTGTCATTTAACATTAATAATAAACCAAAAAGTTTATATGTTAAATTTAAAAGATAAAATTGATTACATTACATTTGGAACCAATATTAATCGTCCGATGATAACGTTATTTACACATAAATGTATATTATCGAAAATTATTTTATTTTTAGAAAAATTTATTTTTATTTTTATTTTTAGGACGCTGCTGGCAACGTTCTGGATAGATGGATCCTGGCGACCAGAGAAGAAGAGCCTCTTATTCTCCAACAGTTCCTTAGATTTGGTGAAACAAAGACAATTTCTCAACAATTACTTGTACAAGAAAGTAGCGAGAGACAAGATTATGTGATTCATGCACCCAGAGCTGATTCTGATATTAAAAAATTCATTGACAGAACAAACAGAGTTGCGAGCACTGCATTCTTCAAACACAACAGTGTTTATACAGCGAGTCCACATGGTACTAGTATACAGTCATTACCAGTTACTTGTTCCTCTATGTTTAGACATCCTTCCAGTGTAAGTTCTACACACTCATTATCTCCAAACGAAGGTTCTCCAATTGAGCGAAACAGTCCCTTGGCTATCTCTCCGCTTAATAAGCTACAAAATATGCAACCGTATGACTTTCGACGAGAGAAAACCAGCCCCGAAACGAGAACTTCTGAAGCTCCAGCGATATCCTTAACTCACAGTACACCTCTTTCCTCTCCTACAACTTCAATTCCATCTTTACCCACATTAAGTACTACTTTAACAAATCATACATCAACTGCCACTGTTAATTCAGACTTTAGTGTCACAGACGGTGGTTCCGACGACGACACAAATAGTGCTATTAACTTAAGCCAATCGTCTACAGGACATATGGATTCTGTTTATGCAGCTAAAAAAGTTCGACATTTAAGAAAATCAGCCAATCCGATGAAAAGAAGGTGGAATCCAATTGTCTTAAGCACTCTAAACACGAATCCTTCGACAGGAAAAAAACGAGTACAGTGCCACGTGTGCCTAAAAACGTTCTGTGACAAAGGTGCTTTGAAGATTCATTTCAGTGCTGTTCATTTAAGAGAGATGCATAAATGCACTGTGGAAGGATGTAATATGATGTTCAGTTCGCGAAGAAGTAGAAACAGACATAGTGCCAATCCGAATCCTAAATTGCACACCCCAAATTTAAGGCGAAAAATTAATCCACACGATGGAAGGACCAGTAATCCCTTCCCACTTATTCCACCAAGTGCCCTCATTAATTTTAACAGCAATCTTATTCCTTCAGGTGTAAATCAGTTAATGGACAGAGATGGTCCCGTTACTCCTGAAAGTGAAATTACTTCTCATATTCCTATGGGAACTATGAAAGAAACAGTCGTATCTCATTCAGCATCAGTATTACACAAGTATGATGAGGATGGAGCACTGCCATTAACTAAAAAAGCACGAGTAGAACATGATATTGAAGATGTGAGCAATGGAGCCGAAGAAGGAATGGATCTAACTACAAAAGACGATGGTCTAAACAATAGGGGAGTAAGAAAAAGGAAAAGTTTAAACCCTACAAAGTGTGCTGTGACATCTGATGATGATCTTCAATATGTTTCAACAGATGATTCATCTAGTGATACATATATCGATCAAGCAGATGAAAATGGACTTTTGGATTCAAAATCCGAAGATGGAACTTCTGATTTAGCGGACGATTCCAAAGATGAAGACCTCGACAAAGACGATCTAGACGAGAAAGAAGAAAAGAGAGAGTCCAGAATTATTCGTACAGAAATATTACAATACGAACATATTAAAACCGAAACTATTAAATCCAGACATATGGATGTAAAAAATTCTTTAGATTTTTCTAAACGAGATTTATCTATAAATCACAATAATGAAGTAGAGGATTTATCTGAAAATCCATTACGTCATTTGGAATCATTATCTCTTGGGGCATTCAATAATATGGTATCGACAAATTCCAGGAACCATTTGACACAGAATAATCCTGTTACTAGTGGTGTACTTTATCATGCCCCGGGATTAGGTCTGGCATCATCTCTACCCTCTGAAAGTTGTCGAGATTTAAATGTCACGGGGACAGACTTGTCTGGAAACACAATAGTACCACCGGCATCGTATCCTCCAGTTAATAACAATAGCGATCAAGAAAGCGATCACATGTCTTTGATGCCAGTTTATCGTGATGCTTCCATTGGGTCTAACATGGAAATTCCTGTAGATAAAGAAAATCCCAGAAGATGTACAGCTTGTGGAAAAATTTTCCAGAATCATTTTGGTGTGAAAACTCATTACCAAAATGTTCATCTAAAACTTATGCACAAGTGTACCGTAGAGGGATGCAATGCGGCATTTCCATCTAAACGAAGCCGAGATAGACACAGTGCCAATTTGAATTTACACAGGAAACTCCTTTCGACATCATCGGATAAAGGTGGTGCATTTTTCGACAAAGCTTCACTGTATCCTTATCATCCAGGAGTTGCTTTAAGGGACGAGTTTTTCAGTAGACTTTACGATCCTCAGAGTTTGTCTCTGGGATTTCCTGACATATATCATGGACGTATACCGACGTGTGGTCCAGATGGACTCGGTGCCTCTTTCACAAATCACTTGGGAGCGAGTAATCCATTGTCGACAATGCCACCTTTCCATCCAGCATTTATGGCACCCACGTCATCCGCGTCGGGGGGAACGTTATCGGAAGGAGTAGCCGTAGTAGAAACGAGTGGAAGGAATTCACCAACAAGCACGATGAGTTCGGCCCAAAGCCCTCAACCCGCATCGCCCAGTCCTGCTAAAACAACATATCCAGCGTGTTTGGAAGAAGAACTAGGTGCAGACAGCGACGGAAAGTATTCTTGCGAATTTTGTGACAAGAAATTTCACGAAAACGTTGTGTTAAGAGAACATTACGAAAAATCGCATACTCAGGAGGTTCAACGCTGTTCGGTAGAAGGTTGTAACAAAGTGTTCCTATCGAGGAGGACCCGTACTTTACACGAGGAATTCCATAACAAAAAGGAAAAGGTGGCAACCACCTCTTAACTATAACTTTCAACTCTCTTTCATTTTTATCTGTACGATGGACGTCTATGTAATATTATATGCATTCTGTGCCAACAGTTTCTCAATCCGCTGGGAAAAACGTCAGTTTAAAGGAGAAAGTGTGATGTAATATAGTTGTTTGTTCGTCGACGTTTCTTTCTCATCCTTCACTGGTGACGACCTGGTGGAGTCTTCCAGACTATTTTCTTAAGTGTCTCCGTTTTTTCTCCCCCTTTTTTTTGCCAGATCGGAGTGAAAACTGCCTCTAGTTAGTTGGACAGTTGGGTGTTGTCCCCGTACGAAAAAAAAAAACAGTACAAACTAGTTGGGAATGTGAACTATGTCCCCGTTTGTTCTGTCATTTGTAGCCTCCGAAAAAAAACAAAAAAGGTTTTTTGAAAGTTGTTAGAAAAGGAGTTGTTTATCTCCGCCAAAACTGATGTTTAAAAATAAGATAGCATTAATATTTCTCAGCCAAAAGTTAAATTATTTACTCCCAGTCATTTCCACAGATATTGTATCACCCTATAAGGTGACATATTAAAGTACTTAAACTATTTCATTGTGTAATTTATCAAATATATATATATATATAACATAGTTAATTATTGTACATATTTTATCAATTTCACGCCACATTTTATCAAATTATATATATTAAAATACATTAAATAGATGTTAAACTAACAAATTTACACTTTTTCTTTCTATCTTTATTGCATTTTCTTATTATAATTAAAATAAATTTTAGTTTTTTTTTTTTTGGAAAAATCATTATAATATTTACAAAATAATTATCGTTTAACATAGATTTTGTGTAGAATTCTTGTAATTTTTTTTTTTTTAATTCTAATTTTACTTTGAAGAATAATTTATTATTATTAAACTTTTCAAAATTTATTATTTAAGATATAATAAACATGATTATATTAAAGTAGTTCATTGTGATTAACTAACAATAATTAATCGTAGTAAAGCATTACTTTAAATTAACTAAGTTAAAGCTCTTGATTAAAAGATGATAATTACAGATAAAGCATTTTACTGTGATGAATTACAATTAAAAAAAAAAAACATTATTATAATTAATTAAATGTGCTTAAAGTATTTTATTGTGAAAAGCTGCAATTAAGATACTTGATTACAATAAAGATATTATGGAAGAAGAATGCTATTATGATAAACTATCATTAATTACATTTAAAGCACTTTATTATTATAAATGAATTACGTTTAAAGCATTTTATTATGGTAATTATCATCAAAGCACTTAATTACCATAAATTACCATTAAAACGCTTTATTATACACAACCTAATTATGACTGAGCAGTCAAAATTATAAGTCATTTTACTAAAGAAATTTATTAAAATATTATAAAATATGCTCGCAATTTCAAATTTAGAATAAAATCCTAATCACGCAAACTGCCCTTTTATTTTTTATTTTATTTTATAGATTGTAAGCTTGCCATTAAACTGAATGTTGTGCCCTGTCACGTGATGAGGAATACACCTTCCCTTATTGCATTTGGTTATTTATTTTTGAAAGGAATCGAATCGGTAATGAATTTTTTATTAAAACATAACTAAAAACATACGACAAATGCTAAACGATGGGAAATATAGTAAATCCTGCAGATTAATGTCATCCGAATGGGATTGTGTAGAGGAAGCTCCCTTTCCATTACAGCTTTTTCTAATGCTTTCTACATAGGAGATGGGGTAAAGAGATGGGGATGACCTCGCAGCAAGATTGAATGGGACTCAGGTGAACGGATAAATCCTCCTTCGTCTTGCTATTAAATCCTAGCAATACATCTTCGCGCAAATGTTTTATAATTACCAAATCGCACGGATCGTTCTGCGATAAAGATCGTCAGAAAAGAAGAAGAAAAAAATCTTTCTTGGTAGGATTTTCTATTGGATTCTTTGGTTTTAACGCTACAAAAGACTTTTCTTTTTTTTTCCTATAATTTCTATAAGAAATAATATAATTGCGTGCTTAACATAAAGTTATGACAATTATTTGTGGGATTTTTTTTTAAATCCTAGCAAGATACATACTCCTTATCCTACTATTTAATGATCATTAACCTATATTTTTAAAGGAGAACGTATGCTTAAATAATATACTATCATTAAGTTGTATAGGAGTATCTATTTGTAAAGAAGGAAATATACACCTCTTTTCTTTATTTTAAAGTCTTACAATGGTTTATACGTGCCAGAAATGAGTAGATAATATACTTAAGGAACACTATTCCATTTTAAAAATATATAATTTTGAATTTTAGAGGGGGGGTTAATATTATTAAAATGATGAACGTGAAACATTTTTTGAAATGTTGTAAGAACTAATTATTGCATTTGTTTAAAACTTTGTTTGTAACTGTTGCCGTCGAATTGAAAAATAAATGACAGGAAGTTCAACACAAACTGTGAAAAGATGGCTCCTTATAAATAGAACATCCTTAACACAATCGCGACCATCGGCGAGAGAAATCGTTCATCCGTTCTGTCCACCATTAACAGGGAAGTGAGGACATGAAGTGTTATTGTCAACATCCTTTCGCTTACTCGAGTCTGCACAGGATATTGACTCTAGCAACATCTTTCTTGGTACAAAAAGGGAAATGCTTCACTTGCAGATCCTACTGTACAGGAACTGTGTTCAATGTCAGGATGTTAGTCTCTGTCTTACTCTATAAAAAGAATGAAAGGGCTTTTAGAATGTACTAAATTATATCTTGTCATTAGTATTTACATACAGACATATAGTTTATTTTTGTATATATCTATTATATTATAAAAATAATCTGGATTTAATCGAGAAAATGTCATTGATTAACAGTTTGGCTTAATCTTTTCACGTCAAAATCTATTTGAAACTAAAGTAGAGGCTTATAAAGAAAAATAAATGTTCAATTTAAAACGAATGAGATTAATTCTGAATAATAAAGAGAATAAAGTTTAATGTATTCATAGAATCATCGATTTTCTAGCTTAGCTGAATATGCTCCCGATCATTCATTCAATGACATACTGACATGCAACAGAAAGAAATCTTTGGCTTTGCATACTCTTCCTGTCTTTCAAAATCCATTCCTATAGTCTCTGCTCATAACTTTCAATAAAAGATTTAAAAAAAAAAAGGAGTCAGTTGTATCAGTCGGTCCTCTTTATGTACTCCTTTGTACGATTTAGATGTAAATACTCCATCATTAATTACATCTCGATATATAAAAGGCTTATCGAGTGACCCGCGGTGGTCTTTTGTACGCATTCGTGAAGACATTCCGTCACTCGGGTTCAAAACAGTGACGTCACGCCACGAATATGATGTATGATATAGTAGTTGTCAATGTCCCAATGGTAGACAACGCAGTTACAGGAGTCTAAACATAAGAAGAAATTAATGGGATTTGCAGCAATGACTAATAGTCTCGTAGCTGGACAACGCAGTGGGTATGGAAGATGGAATTAACCCCAGCACCTCACGTGATTAAGTATCGAAGTAAAAAGGATCACATTCCTACAAGTAGGCTATTTGTTTCAAGCACGTTTTTAACATGGCTACCGAAAAAAGTCCAGCTTATTTAATCAACTCCACGTTTTTAATGAGATCTAAGAATACAATGATAAAAATGGATCATTTATTCATACAGAACCATTAGTAATCGACATGATTGATTCTAAGTGTTAAGCGCATTAAACTCGAGATTTTTTTTTTTTTTTGAATTTTCCTGTGTAAAACATTAGCGCCCGATCATTTAAACGATCGGAGATCGATTTTTTAAACGTTAACTAATTTTTTGGATGCTGCAGTGTGCAGCAATACGAATGGAATGCGGGAAAGTAGACACGTTTTTACAGAAAATGAATTTAATTCTAAATATTAGTCACATTAACTCGAGATTTTTTATTAAATTTCGTTATTTTCTGACTAATCAAAATATAATAAAAATTTAAATAATCGAAGTTTTTGACTGTTACAACGTATAGCAGCGCGAATGAGATGCGGAAAAGTAGACACATTTGTATAGCGAATGAGTTTAATATTTTAGGGGAAAAAAATGTTTCCATACAAGGACAAGTACACGTGTGGACACCACCCAACTCTTTCGATCATTAATACAGGTATATAGGAGGCCGCTGCTTCCCTATTATCCACGTAGCGTACCTAATGTTTGTGTCACCGAACAAATCTCCATCAATCACTTTGCTTCACGTCTTCTTAACAATCACCCCTAAGTAATTACTGGTTGAGTTCTCACGGCTGTGACTCGTGATCTGTCGTCGAAATGACAGGATTTCGAAGTAGGACAAGTCGGTTAGTAATTGCAAAGTGTAGACTCCATCACGAGTATGCTCAAGGAGAGGTTCTTTATCAATTAGAAGTTGATCAGGCGAAAGATTAAATTATTCTCTAACCATTTTTTAAGAGTTTTTTGAAGGAAAACTCGTCACACAAAAACCTTAGAACAATACAAGAATTGGTTTACGAGGTCAAAAGGTTATTCACGACTAAATTATTGTTTACGTGATTCGAAATTTTGCTTAATTATATCTCAGATGTAGACTGTAATGTTTTGCGCTTCTACTAATTTATCCAAGAGCCGAATTTAAAGGGTATTAACGCCCGATAATTCTTTCGAATGCATAATATTAAAGGAGACAAAAGAAGTGTTTTAAGTTATTTCTAGAAAGCCGCAAAGAGATCCTATATCAAGTAATTGCTTGGTTAGCCTGAAGGCTCTTAATTAGATCCATTACAATAGGATAATTCTTTATTCATTTGGAGGTAGGCGTGTAGAAACAGGCCCATCTAATTAATATAAAACGGCATTATAAAACCGGTATCTATGGGCATTCATCTTCATCATATATATAAGGAAGAATTTTTTTTTCTTCTACCAACCTGTAAAATCTCTTCGGACGAGCTACAGAATGGTGTATTTCGTAGAGTGTCACGCTTAGGTCCGATCTTGTCTTGGGTTAACAAAGCAGAGTAATGCACGTTAGTTGATAAATCACGTTGAGCAAGTTTGCGTGAGATGAGTGACGGACGGGTGAGGCGGTCGCGATTATCGATGGGTTTCTATCGTGACGTCGTAGTGTCGGGTTGACTGGCGATGAGGGTTTTTTCAGACCACCTCCCTCGCTCTCTACTCTCTCTCTCAGGTAATAGATTTGCTAGAGAGTTCTCCCTCTTGGCCGGCTCCCGTATACCCTCCCAGACTGTTATGAGTTGGTAGTGTTCTTGCCAAATTTACCTACTGAATAATCAAAGAACGGAGGGTGGGTATTCCC